CTGGAAGTGGGGGAAAGACACACAGAGTGTTTGCATGTGTTTCAATGGAAAACACTGTAGTCTTGTTTGTGTGTGTGTGTGTGTTACTTTGTTCTCATTAACAAATGTCTCCCTTTCTTCTAGGCCTGAAATGATTGCACATAATCAAAAGCAGCAACTTTTAATCGGTAAGTGGTCATATTTGAATGCTATTTGAACTATGTAGTTGAGTATCAGATGTAAGGTTATGTTCATGATTATTATAAGATAAGTATTATTCTTGTTCATCACCTGTGATAGGGAGTTTTATTTTATGCGACTGAATCCAAAGGGGAATTCGAGCTGTCAAAGCAAATTTGTGTGGTAGTGGAATTCATGGGCAGGGTGATATGGTTGAAAACAATAGAAAAAAATCAAAAGGAATTTTTGTATATCACACAATATGGTTAATGTATGCATTAAGTCACATGTTAAATAAACATACCACATGGTAATATCCTGTGTGATGTAAAAGAAAAATCAAAATTTCAAATAGTCCTTAAAATGTTTCATATCTCATTTTGTCAGTTCAAGTGGTAATCACGAGGATTTGCCTACCATCAAAGACAAAATTGTATCCAAATATTACTATATAATCATGAGGACTTTACAGAAAGATGATGATATTTTGTAATATATATTTATAAATTGAGTTTTCAGTATCACCTCATACCAACAATGCAAATGTAATTTGGGTCCTTTTTATGTACCAACCCACTCCCCCTCCCCCTTTCCAGTAGTCTGCTGAATGTGGAGATGTAAAGACTGTGGTGTCACCAAATCACGAAGATCAGAACTTCTGAAGCATTACAAACTTCAGCATAGACATTTTGGACGCCGCCGTGCTTACGCTTGCACATATTCAACATGCCCTTGTTCTTTTACTACCTGGAATGCCCTTAAGAGCCATTTGTCAAGAAGCCACCCTCGACTGAACCCACAAAAAGATCAGCAGACAACTTTGAGATGCCTTTTGTGTGAATACAAGCAAATTTCAACTCTTTAAGACTACTTGCAGCACTTAGGACAGCATCTGAAAAATCACGTGACTGTAAACTGTATTTTTCAAAGTTGCTCGTACAAAACAAATGTTTATGGATCATTCAGGACTCATAGGTACAGAAATCACAGGTCATCCTCTATAAGTGATTTAAAACCTGAAATTGCTGCGAGGGTACAGCCAATCCACTATTCCTCTGAAGACAGTAATGCCAACGATTCACACGAGGATGTTTCAGAGGATGAGGTAACTAGTTCTGTCTTTGATACACACGGTACTGAAGATTTTTCCAATGCTATAGAGCACAAAATTGCTTCAGTGTTATTGAAATTAGAGCATGTTTTCCTGGTCCCTAGTGTGGCTATTGATGACCTTTTGCAGGAGCTGCACTATTTGATAATTGTAGTTTCAGTCCCTGTCACCTATGACACTATAATTCATCTACTGCAGGAATGTAATTTCCAAGTTGACATAGCAGTTGTACAGGAGTTGGCCTCTGTGCTGTGTAAGTCAAATCCCATTCAAACTGCAGTTGGAGATAAAGGTCCTCTCTCTACATCTTGGAAACGAAAGGCATACTACAAAAATCATTTCAGTGTTGTAGAACCCTTGGAGTATGTGCTTGACCGAAAGAATAGAAGGTCATTCCAATATGTTCCAATACTCAAGTCATTGCAGCAGATTCTTAGTTGCCAGCCAATACTATAGATAAAGCTATTAATTTGAAATCTCATCATAGAGGGGGTGATGGACTGAAATATACATGCTTCTTTGATTCACTCAACTTTCAGCAGAATGTATTGCTCTCTAATGAGACTGCTATTTCATTGATATTGTATGTGGACGAATTTGAGATTTGTAACCCCCTTGGCACGTCCAGGAAAATACATAAGATCTTAGGTGTTTATTGGATTTTAGGTAATTTACCTGCAGGGTCCCACTTATCCCTGTCTGCCATAAATTTAGCTGCTTTGATCAATAGCAATGATGTTAAGCAGTATGGATATGAAAAAGTGCTGGAACCTCTGGTAGATGATCTTGTCACGTTGGAGCAACATGGAGTTTTTATCTCTAAGCTGGGAATGACGATAAAGGGCACTGTTCAGTGTATCGTTGCTGATAACCTTGGTGCACATAGCATTGCAGGATTCGTGGGGAATTTCTCAGGGACATATGTGTGTAGATTCTGCACAGCAGAGAGTGAAGAATTTCAGACTAAAGAAGTTAGATCAGGAGCATTTTGTCTGAGAACCAAGGGAACATCTCTTTGAGGGAATTGTCCCTGTTGAGATAGCATTGTGTTTGGCTGTCTTTGTAAGTAAAAAATATTTTACATTGGACAACTTGAATGAAGCAATACAAACTTTTCTTTTTTAAGTGGAATGACAAAAAAAATTGTCCCCATCCTGTACCTCTTGCATATTCAACAAAGAAAAGGATCGGGGGGAATGCACATGAAAACTGGGGCCTATTGAGATTTTTACCTCTTTTGATTGGAGACAAGGTGCCTGCTAATGAACCTGCCTGGCAAGTCCTTACTGATTTAAAAGACATTGTAGACCTTGTAGTCACACCTTTTTACACCAAAGAATCTATAGCTTATTTGGATAGTAAAATATCTGAACACAGGCTGAGATTGAAAGAGGTTTTCCCTGACCAAAGAATTCTGCCCAAACACCACTATTTGGAGCATTATCCACAGTTCATTGAGCAGTTTGGTCCCCTGGTTGCACTATGGACGATGCGTTTTGAGGCAAAACACAGCTTCTTTAAAAGGGCTGTGCATCACACAAACTGCTTCAAAAATGTGCTCCTATCATTGTCACAGAGGCATCAATTTCATATGGCCCATCAGCTGCACCTGTACAGCTTCTCCACACCAACTCTGGAAGTTAGAAATGTTTCCTCCATTCCCATCGATGTTCTGAATGAGGAAATATCACATGCTGTGAGGCAGAAGCACCCAAACCTGGATCTTTTGTGCATGGCAGAAGATGTGACTTATGTGTATTATGTATATACTGTATATACTGCTACTACAGAAAGCCAGTCTGACTTGAAGTAATCTTATTCTCTCTCCGTCCCTGCCCCCTCTCTCTCTCTCCCTCCCTCCCTCTCTCTCTTCTCCAGAATTTCACTCCAAGCTCAAGAAGTCAGCATCCTCCCTCTGCAACCTTTTATTTTGTCAGCCCCTTTCTAAAGGTAGATATACAGTATGAAATAATTATATGCCTACTATGCACAGCAGAGAAGGAGCATTTTGACAGCTGCTATGGTTTTTGGACAATCACAGTTTAAGTTTCATTAAGTTTTTGGCCAGTTTCAAAATTTATAATAAGTGTGTATTGCACGGGATTTTCGTGGCTAGAGCAGGTGATGTCATCGCTAGAGTGAGAGGAGGGGAAAAAAATCCATCAAAAATCTCTGGAAAAACTGTGCCAGCGGCCACAAATTTCACTGCACACACATGAAACTTGCCACAAATGTAGGCACGCTTGTTCACATGCTCACACTACGAAATCTAAGCCAAGACACTAACACAGTGGCTTTGACAGTCACCAACTGCCGACAGTCACCTCGAAATTTCTCCATAGGGACCCATACAAAATGAAAACAGGATTTTCAGAAGCGGTCCTTGTGTTTAACTCGCGACCCTGACCACAGTGTTGGCTCCATGAAAAAACAAAACACATCACTGCGTTCCTCAGACTTTCATCTCTCTCACGACATATTGACTGCGGTGATAGGATGTACGGCTGAGGTGTGGTTAGCAGCAGTTCGAGAGGCATTTTTCAGGTTAACTCCCATTCAGATACACAGAGAACCAGACGCGCGCGGAGCGCCTGCTCACACACTCACACACACACACACACACACACACACACACACACACACACACACGCACTCATCCATGTAAAGAAGCACATAGACTCACAAATACACACAGACACACAACACACATTCACACAACACACATACAAATAGATGTACACAGACACACAAGCACACAAAAACACATCCACAAAGACACACACAGAGACAATTACACACGCATGGGAGCACGTGCATCCACACACACACTCATCCATGTAAAAAAAGCACATAGACTCTCAAACACAGACAAACAGCCCCACCAACACAGAAATACACACTAAGAAAGACTGTACACAGACATACAACACACACACAAACACACAGACACACATAAACACATATACACACAGCACACAACACACAGCACACACAAATACATCCACAAAGACAAACACACACACACACAAACATCATCACCATCATCAACACACCACCGTGAGCATGAAGACAGCATGGTGGTGGCAGATGCACAGAGGAGCAGGCATATATTGCAATTTCTTCAGAAATTGTCTACTATGTGTGTACTGTTAATACTCAAAGCCAGTCTGACTTGAACTAATCTTATTCTCTCTCTCTTTCTCTCTCTCTCTCTTACTCTCTCAGACTCTTGAGCATGGCTGGAAAAAAGTCTGCAAAGCTGTTGGTTTTTCTGACAACAGACAACAAAAGAAAATTGTTGCTGCCAAATGGGATTCCAGAGTCTGTGGAGGAGCTTGTTGATGATGTGAGAAGAGCTGGTGGATTGAGTGGGAACTTCAGGATCCAGTACCAGGACAAAGACTTTGGTGATACATTTGTAAATTTAACATCTACTGGAGAACTTAAGGATCTTGGCATCATCAAAGTAATCCCTTTGCCTGATGAAGACACAACTCCTGCACAGACAGCTGTTCATGTCAGCCTCAGTAGTGATGTCGCCTTTTCCACTTCTGGTGAAACTGATGACACGGTGATCCTCTCCACAACCTCTTCTAGTCTTTCTTCAAGGACCAAGCAGTGGCCCAAAGAGTTTCCCATTCCATGCTTTTCATATGACACTGAAGTCCAGTTAGAGAGAGGAAATGCTGCTTTCAAGGCAAATGGAACAAGGTTGAAAGTCAGTCCTAGGATGAAGTCAGACATTCTGGAAAAGGTGTCTGATGAGATCTACAAGTATAAAGCTTACCTTAAAAGCTCAGACTTTTGTGAGGTTTCAGAGGCACTGATCAAGAAGCACCCCTGCTTGGCAGAGCCAGGATCTTGGAATGGCTGCTATGGCTGGACTCAGAGACTTAAAACCAGGATGGGAAACCTCCGTACCCAACCGAAGGGACTTGGATGCCCCGAGCTTGCTGTCAATGCTCTAAAGACCAAAGCTGCAGATGACGCCCATCCAGCAAAAAATGTCAAGCGACCTAAACATGGTGAGGCCAACCATGTGCTGTCCTATCCAGCTGGCGTGACAGCAGACAATCTTGAGATGGAGTGGCAGGTACTTTTGAAGGAGGTGAAGAAATGGAACAACGGGAGGATTATCCAAGAAAAAATGGCCAAGACATTTGCCCTTCGTAGACAAGAAATTGTGGAAAAACAGCCCAGGGTGGAAGAACTCCAGGAGCGATGGCCAGCGATGTTTCAAGAAGAAGAGGTATGAGTTGAATCACTGTCATAATCTTTTAATACTATATTTTTGTGAGTGTGTTGTACTCTTGTTTTGCTGTGAAACTATGTCCCTGAAAAAAAGAAATTTCAGCATTTACAGACAATAGACAATAGACACTGGAATAGGCTCACTGGTCACTCTTACAGAGCTTCTGTATTCCTGTGCGAGAATCTGACAGAATCTAGAACCTATCATCTCTTAGCTCTCCATCCAGTCCAGAGTCCAGTCAGGCAAACAACACTATATTTTCCTGATCTTTTTGTCCTTTGCCAATCATATGCCTTAACATGAAATGTGTTGTCTAATTTGTATATTTCAGATCAATGCTGAATTCCTACGGATGACAACGGTACCTCTACAAGCACGATTCTTGGCCAGTTTGGATGAACAGAGCAGTCAGCTTCTTCAGGTCATTAGGAGAAAAGGTGGAGCTGTCGGTGAGAAAACCAGGGACGTCCTTAAACCTTTGGATCAGGTATGAAATGCATATGTATTCCATTTGATTTCCTCTTTTATCAGTTCAGTTCTGTCTGTTGGTGAGTTGAAAGCTGATACATTTATTATCTTTTAATATGTGTCTTTGTTGCTACAGAGTGTGGACTTGAACATCAGAAGAGAGTGCCTCCTGAAGTCCCTTGTGATGTACCTGGGTGAAGATGTGAGCCACCTGATCAAAGAATACCAGGTAAGTCAGCAAATCATGGCAATGCACTGAGATCAGGCTGTTTTCTGTTAAATGAAACTGTTGGCCCTGGGCGTTTGATCAGACCAGGGTCCAAAACTAACTTTTTCACTTACCAGCCAGGCTGGCTGGTAAGTGGAATTTTTTACCAGCCAGGCAGATATTTTACCAGCCAACCAAATAAAAATTGCTTTTAAGTGCTGTAATTTGCTATCAGTATTATTTAGCATGTCATTTGGGTCTTGTATGCGATTCTCAATCAATATTTTAATAGTGTGCAATAATATTAGTAATAATGTATGCTAAAATATGAATAACTGTTTCAACAGTTGAGTGTAATATTTGGGTTAATAAATTCTGTAGTATTCTTACTACAGTACAAAAAGAATCTTTTATTAAGGAATTTTACATGAATCACTGACTTCAGTCCCCTTTGGACAGTTGAGACATAAGATTTTAGCTCGACCAGACTGCAACAGCAGGGCCTGTCCTATACGTATAAACATGAATGTCTGACCAGTGGTGGACAAAGTATTCAACGACATGACTTGAGTGAAAGTAAAGATACTCTTGGTCAAATATTACTCCAATACAAGTGAAAGTTGTTCAGTCATTTTTTTTTACTTAAGTGAAACTGCACCAACTGATTAACATGCAAGTAAAGAACAGTCCCTTCATAAGTTAAGAACAGTCCCTAAAGTGCGGTGAGGTTTGTAGATGGTTACCTGCCACAAAGACAGAAATGTGAACGGCTTGTTTCTCCTCTGACAGAACACATACCTGTGTGCTGGGCTGTTCAGGTACGTTTGGGCAGCGATCGCAGCTCACCAAAATTCTCGCGCGAGCCCGTTCACATTACGGCCGGGTTCCACCGGCTGCAAAAGTAAGCGTCACATCAGCGTAGCATCGCGGCGTATTCATTTGGGCTCCACTGACTGCGTGGAAGTGACACATAGAGAAGCCAGCGGGGTTGTTTACTGTTTGCTGAGCCATGAAATGTTAAAGCATTTTCCACCAAAGTTATTACATACAGTACAGGCCAAAAGTTTGGACACACCTTCTCATTCAATGCGTTTTCTTTATTTTCATGACTATTTACATTGTAGATTCTCACTGAAGGCATCAAAACTATGAATGAACACATGTGGAGTTATGTACTTAACAAAAAAAGGTGAAATAACTGAAAACATGTTTTATATTCTAGTTTCTTCAAAATAGCCACCCTTTGCTCTGATTACTGCTTTGCACACTCTTGGCATTCTCTCCATGAGCTTCAAGAGGTAGTCACCTGAAATGGTTT